TTTACACAGCAAAACACTGTAACAACTGCATAAAGTATTTTATGTGAACAATGGAGAGGAGTTCAGCCTGTGAGCTGCTCTAGGCTATGATTCATTCGTGGCGCTCTGCCAGAAAAATAAATACATTCAAGACCGATGGCCTCAAGGGGAAAGGTAGGCCACTTTTTGAAAAGCAGAGAGATAAATGATTTACAGAACAGAATACAGCTTAAGATTTCAGATGATGAGGAAGGACTTTCTTACGTCTCCCACAGATTTACCGCGCAGACTTGAATACCGGCCACGTATCACCAGATGGAGCGAACTGGGAACTGTTAAACTGGGATTCGCAAAACTCTCTCCAAAGAGCGAGAAATGACCCATTACATCGCTCTACACAAAGGAATTCCGTAAAGCCAAACGGAGATATGCCGTGGGGACGTCAGCCACGCCAGGCACACACGGCCGGTTCCGGTTACAGCCGCGCTCTGCGGCGCAGCGACACCTGTACAGGGAAAGCCCAGTCCCCTGGCAGCAGGACAAGCAGTTGCAAGGCTGGGAGGGGCTGATGCCACGCAGCATCTGCTGCACATAAAAATGGTTAATTAGCTGCTAAACAGCAAGCAGTAGATTCCTGTTTTTTTCTGCGAGAACATTGTTTCTTGACTAAATGCCCTTGCGTAGCCGGCGAGGTTCAGGACGAAGATCGCTGTTTCACTACGGAGCTGAGGCCAACTCATTCTCACATGTCACATCCACTTCTAATTGACTTCTAACATTTCGAACCATTTCAGTAGCAAGCACCTTCTGAAACACCAAAACCACCTTTAAATCATATAATCACAGAATGGTTTGGGTTGGAAGGGACCTCAAAGATCATCTAGTTCCAACCCCCCTGCCATGGGCAGGGACGCCCTCCACTACACCAGGTTGCTCAAAGCCTCATCCAACCTGGCCTGGAACACTGCCAGGGATGGGGCATCTACAACTTCTCTGGTCAACCTGTGCCAGTGCCTCACCACCCTCTGAGTGAAAAAAATGTCTTACGTTAATATTCAGAACATTAACTGTATTGCTAATGGCTTTTAAAAGAAAGCTGCTCTTTTAAATGCCTCCTTAGAGTTACAACTGCATTTCATCATTTAAAAAAATTCTAGATTTAACTGCTGCGCATCCCCAAACTTAGCAGTAGTGAGGAACTGCAGAGCAGGACAAACACTGAGCCTCTTAGGATGCAAGATACCCTCACAGGCTATTCTATTTGAAGTTTGGGTACACACACAGCTCCAGGGTACCCATTCTCAATAAAAGGGAAAGCAGCCCCAGCTTCAAGATAACAAATAAAATCCAACAAAGGGAACAAGTTGTTAGAATCCAACCTTCATTC